AAAAAAAGTTTCTAATCACTTTTAATGTCAAATGAACAGTTTTACTTTAAAGTAGCATTATGTTTTAATAATGTTTTGTCATGCTTTTAAAAAGTACACTTATTTTGATGTGTTGACTAACATAGTAAAGCTCATGTAAAGTCATTTTAAATGCAGGTAGTTATTCGACATTACATTTACAGTTTAAAATAAATATATTTTATGTGTACTAAATTGAAACTTAATTATTAGAAATGTGCAATTTCCAATATATTTACATACATGCACACATGTTTCAATAGAAATTACAGTAAAGTATATTTTAGTTTACCATAAATGCTTGTTAGTATATTTGGCAACACACCATCATTTTTAAAGACAATATAAATAGTTATAAAGATGTACTTAAGTCCTAATTAAGTGTGACTTAAATAAAACCACTTAAAATTTTAACAATGCATTTAATATAAATGAATCTTAATGGTAATAACATGCAATTACATGTCTGAAAAAATTACATTCGGTTTGCACTTAAGTGTAGTTTTATTATTTCATTTATTTATAAGCACTCTTTTTAAAAGTATGCTTAAGTGTCTTTCTTGTAAAATTGTAAAACTGCAAATGGCTTATAGTTGTCTCTGCATATTATGCATGACATACGTATTTAGTATTTATGTATATATAAGCATTTAGTATTTTAAGTATTACTTATTTTAATATGCAATATGAAATTAACAATATAATTTTTTCAAGCCTAAAAATACACTCCTCACCTTCAACAATGTTGAAATGTGTTTTTATAGCGGTTTCTAAACATTCTCTATTTTGACGAATATTGCACAATTTATTGATTGAAGGTCTGAGTTGTAGTTCTTTTGTTAAGCTGAACGTGTTCAGGGATGAATGCATAGCATTAAATGAGACGCTTTGAGTAGACCCCTCCCAAGTGAGGCCAATACTGCATAACTGACCTCCAGCGATGAGAGGCACAGCTTCAAAAGAGCTATGTGTTCAGCTCTGCCAGTTGTTTGAGAATTGCTGCTAGATGACGCTACATTTTATGAGGTCATAGCATGAAGTGTATATTTTTAATATTATATTCCTCAGATTGACTGATAATATTAATCAAGGTTTCTTGCATCAGTGATGATTTTTGACTCTCTCTGAGGTTTAACTTAGGTTCATTAAAGGGTCTTAAGTTCAGAATTTTGAAAATTACAGCATATTTTATAGTGCTTTGAAATCTTATGAAGGAGAATTCAGTTTTTCATAAAGCATAAAGTGGTTAAAGAGAAACCCTTTTTTGTTACATTTGTATCATATTTTATTGATGTAGTGATACATTTCTTTTCATAGTGTCTGAGCTCCAGGAGGAGGGAATAAATGCGATTAACCTGCCCCTCAGTCCCACACTGTTTGAGCTGGACCCTGAAGACACCATGCTTGGTAAACATTCTCAACATAACTGATGATTCAGACATGAACTACACAGCCTCTGTCGTACTAAGAGCTGCTGTATTTCCCAGTGATCTCTCAAAAGATGAGAATGAAGTCCGTGCCATGGTTGATCCCAACTCAAGGAACGATCCCAAACTCCAAGAGATAATGAAGGTAAATCAGCTCCAATGATTGTAATACAACTCCTTCTTTGATCTTTTTCACAAGTTTTGGTATTTTTAAGCTAAGACGTTCATTGAGAGCTTCAACTCGCAACTCTGAAGTAATACAAGTTAGTCGAGCGTTACTGTTGTCATCTGTCATGCAAAGGGACACAACGTTCAAATCCTGATCTAATGTTATTATACAAAGTAATACTGACTAAAAAGATCACAATGGCAACCAAAATAGGAAATATATGTAAAAATAACTGAAAGCACACATTGAAAAAAAAAAATTTTTTATGTTGTAAATAAAACTAAGATTATTGGAGCACATTTTAAAAGAAAATACTATTTTAGTCTTTCTACTTCAAAATGTCACATTAAACTGAATGTGTTACTTTCCACTTTAAACATTTTTTTTTTTTTTTTTGGAAATTGACTAGCAATTTCTGAGTTAAAATTGTTTCAAAGTAAATCCTCCACCAAAGTTTTTCAGTGCAGTATATATATTTATAATTGTGTATATAATACTTAGAATAACGGGAAAGGATATTTAAAAGTTGAGCCACGAAAGCAAGCAATGATGATTAACTTGTAACTTGTAAGTTTTGCAGTACAATAGTTTTTTGCAATTAACATTTCAAAGATCCAAGCATCTCCACTTCTCCGGTCTTTAACGACAGGTGCTCATTTACTGGATCAATGACGTGTTGGTGGGACAGCGAATCATTGTTAAGGATCTAGCTGAAGACCTCTATGATGGGCAGGTTCTTCAAAAACTCTTTGGTGAGGAATCTGTTCTGGAAAAGAGCCTATATTGTTGTTCCAGTAAGACCCAGTACTCTATTGTATAACCTATAAATTGTGTATTTATTCCCAGAGAACCTGGAGGGAGAGAAGCTGAATGTGGCTGAGGTGACTCAGTGTGAGATCGCTCAGAAACAGAAGCTGCAGACAGTTCTGGAAAAGATCAGTGACACTCTCAAAATTTCCTCCAGGAACACTGAATGGAATGTTGACTGTATGTAGCTTTGGCCTTTTTTAAAAATTTGCATGATATATTTTATAGACTGTATTTTGTATTATAGACTGTACATTGCCAGCCGTCTCTCCCTTTTGCAAAAGTTCATTTTTACGACGAAGTGGATATCGTTCTCTTTTGGAAGACCAAACAAAGTAGTTTCGCTTTCACAACGAAACACACAGTGCCTTCACGACATGGCGGCGGCAACAATACTACAGTGAGAATAAAAGTTACACCTTCTTTCTTTGCGTGAACATTTGGGCGGCGTTATGCAAATCTTCGCACATCGTGACGTAGACATGTGGGGGCGTGTTAGAACGAGCCGTTTTAGGTAGGCGTGACTGACTCTTAACTTTTATAAAGGAAATTAAGGAAAAATAAGTAGTTGTGATGATAAACCAATGGATATGCTTCTCAAAACTGAGACAAACAGTATACAGATACTTTATGGTTGTCAAACTGAGAGTTGAGACTTGCTAACAAGACATTCATTGATGGACTGGAGTGGTGTGAATTACTTGTGGATTATTGTGATGTTTTTATCAGCTGTTTGGACTCTCATTCTGACGGCACCCACTCACTGCAGAGCATCCATTGGTGAGCAAGTGATGTATTGCTACATTTCTCCAAATCTGTTCTGATGAAGAAACAAACGCAACTACATCTTAGATGGCCTGAGGGTGAGTAAATTTTCACAAATGTAAATTTTTGGGTGAATTATTCCTTTAACAACAGGGGGTTATGTTTCCAATTCAGAAGAATCAATCTTTGTGCAAGAAGCATCACAAATGCAATCATGTACTCTTTGGTTTTGTAATGTTATCACCTTTAACCCCAAAAAGAGCAAGTATTGGGTCTAGGTCTAGGTCTTCCCATAATATATTCCCAATATATTATTTATGTTTGTGTTATTAATTATATTTAGCAATATTTTTCCTTGCTGCCAATAATTGTGTCATTTTTGGGTTGCAATCCACCATCTGATAATCAGTGATGGATATACCATACATTTTTGCATTTTTCATTGTTGACCTTTTTTTTCATTGTGATGAATGTAGAATATATTTCATTCAGAAAGCATTAGATTTTTTCCCTCCTGTTATTTATTCTTTTGTGTATTTCTCAGCTGTTCATGCTAAGGACATTGTGGCCATTCTTTCTCAGTATTTCTGGGCCCCTATCAGACTGCCAGACCATGTGTCCATTCAAGTTGTAGTGGTTCAAGTGCTTTTCTTTTCTGTTCATAATTAATAGTTCTGATTGTGTTCAGTAGTAACAAATCCAGAAACTTTATCATGGTAATTTTATGATATTAGATTATAAAATAAGATTATAAAAGATGATTAACTTTTTCTTTGCTCTTTTCACGTTATTTAGTAAAATGTTTCTCAATCCCAACAGAAACGAGAAGGAATACTTCAGTCTCGGCAGATTCAGGAGGAAATTACAGGCAACATAGGGTATGTTTTTTTTTATTAATTACAGTATGATGCACTATTGTGAACTAACAATGACCAACAATATAATTTATAAATAAACATTACATTTAGATAAACCAAGATTAATTCTGTAAAAAAGGCTCTTCGTTGTTAGTTCATGATGGTGAAACTTGTAGTGTATTTCAAACCTTAAAATTATATTTTTTAAAAACTGTTATATAATATAATATTAATGAAAAGGTCACCTAAATCCCAAAGTATACTACAGGTTGCACATGCAAATTATTTTTACAGTAATCAGATGTTCTACAAAGTGGCTGCTTGCTCTTCCGCTTGCCGCGGTGACACCGCTCGGATTGATGCATATGAGAGAGCTTTAACACTGGCTACATGTCCCAAGACCATGTTTATATCACGCTGAGTTGTCACCAGAATTTCAGCCCTTGGTCGGACCTTGCTTTCCTACTGGGTGGGAGTGCCCTTAGAACAAGTGTCCAGGCATGTTGTAGTTACGACAGATGCCTCCAGAACGGTCTGGGGCACTGTGTGCAATGCGCATGCAGCCTCAGGCTCCTCAACTGCAGTGGCACATCTGCTGGCCCTGTGCTGGTTTCGACCATAGCTTCAGGGCAAGCACTCATCTGTATGGACAACACTGTGACCATTGCGTACATCAGCCATCAAGTAGGTATACGCTCCCGTTGCATGTCGCAACTCTACCCCCATCTCCTTTGAAGTCAGATGCTGATCAAATCACGCGACAAAATAAGTCCTTTTTTTCTCAGGAGGAGGGCACAATTTAACAGGCAGTGATAGCCACTATCACTCAGGCCAGAGCCCCCTCTACTAGGCAGGCTTATGCCCTGAAGTGGAGTCTGCTCGCTGAGTGGTGCGCAGAGAAGACACCCGGAGATGCCCGATCAGTGTGGTGCTTTCCTTTCTGCAAGAAAGGTTGGAGCGGAGGCTGTACCCCTTCACCGTGAAAGTGTGTGTTGCTGCTATCGCAGCACATCATGATGCTGTGGACAGCAGGTCCGTGGGGAAGCACGACCTGGTCATCAGGTTCCTAAGAGGTGCCAGGAGGCTAAATCCTCCTAGGCCAAGCCTTATCCCCTCTTAGGATCTCTCTGTGGTCCTGACAGGAATTCAGAGTACTCCCTTTGAGCTACTAGAGTCAGTTGATCATGAGGGTGGGGGGCCTGCAGGCATTTTCGGTCAGTGAAATGTGCCTTGATTTCGGGCCAGCTGACTGTCCTGTTGTCCTGAGACCCTGGCCTGGATACGTGCCCAAAGTTCCCACCACTCCTTTCTGGGACCAGGTGGTGAACTAGCATGTGTTGCATACACAGAGCTTCAGAAGCTCTGAACAGCTCTTTGTTTGCTTTGGAGGCCAGCAGAAGGGGATTGCTGTCTACAAGCAACTGTTGGCCCACTAGCTAGTGGATACCATCGCCTTGACTTACCAAACACAAGGCAAGCCGTGCCCTCTAGGAGTTTGAGCTCACTCCACTGAAGCGTAGCATCCTTTTGGGCATTGGTGCATGGTGCCTCTATAGCAGACATCTGCAGAGCTGCGGGCTGGGTGACACCTAACACCTTCGCAAGCTTCTACAATCTCCACATTTAACCAGTCTCTTCCAGTGTGTTGGGGTGCGAGCACCATCTATCTTGCCAGACGTGTTCCTCACTCTATGAACCCTGAATTGAGCTTCCTTCAGCACCTCTGGCTGTTGGGCTTGGAGGAGAAGCCTGACGTCAGGCTCAGTACCTGTGTTACATGCCTGTTGGTCAGCCACTGTACTGAGCTCAGTGCTCCACATGTAGTGATTCCCTTGAAGTGATACCTTGTGTGCTCCTTCCACGGTATGGTTTTACTCTTGGTATACCCATGTCTTCCCCTTGCTTCTGTCCAGCTTTTGCGTTAGTCTCTTCCCCAAATGTAACTGTTCCCTCTCGGTCAGTCCATATGTACTCTACACATGCTACCTCCCTTTGGGCAGGATGTGGCCTCCGTAGTGTCCCTCTCCGCTTGGACTAGGTACGCTCCCCCAATGTAATACATCTGGCAGCGGCTATACCAACAATTATTCCCAAAGAGCGGAAGCTCTCTTTCATGTTGGAAATAGGAACAGCGGCAACGACCCTCCTCATTGTGATGCCGGGATGCAGTCTCGGCTCCTCAGCACAAACCTGAATGAGTGAATGCAAGCTGCCTTCTTATATACCCGTGGGCATGGAGTAGTTGCTGGGCGTGCAAATTCCACTCACCAATGTCTCATTGGCCTGTTTTTTACTACTCAGTGGTGAGTGGGGCTCCCAAGGGAAACCCAAACATCAGTGTCAACATAACGTCTCCGTTCACCCCTTTAGGATACGTTTACTATAAATACTTGTCAGTACATTCGGCATATTTCAAAGATATAAATAGAAGTAATTATGAAATTACATTTAATAATGTACTTCAGTCCTAGTTTAGTGGGTCAAAAAATCCCTCCTAAGGTCAACTAATTACTGTACACTTAATATCAATTTAAACTATAATACATTGTCATTTAATTGCAAGTAACATGCAGTTACGTGTTCAAAAACCTACATATATTCTTTTAAAGTACATTATTTACATAATAGTTACTCTTTTTTAAAGTATGTTAACGTTAACATTCTTTTTCACAAGGGAATGCACTAATGTCAATCCCTAGAACATTTATATGCTATAAATGCATTTATAATGCTAATAGCTTTTGCAAAACAAAAACAGATCCTTTTGGAGGAAATTTATGAGTATGAACAATAAGCTTGACAGAGAACGGGAGTATAAAGCAGATATTGTATTGTATAATATTATAGTATATGTTTGGTTTATGTGGTAAAGTATGAAGTAAACAGGGATCCAGAGGTTGGATCATACAGTGACATGCCAGTCATGGAGCTGTGGTGTACAGGGTGTGTGTGTGTGTGCACTGGTTTGGGTGGTTTATGAGGACACAAATTTGTATAATGACATGGGGTGTATGAGGACACTACCTATGTCCCCGTAGTTCAAAAGGCTTTAAAAACAGACTAAATTGTGTTTTTTTGAAAATCTAAAAATGCACAAAGTTTCCTGTGAGGGGTAGGTTTAGGTGTAGGGCGATAGAAAATACAGTTTGTACAGTATAAAAACCATTACGCCTATGGAGAGTCCCCGTAAAACACCAATACCAACATGTGTGTGTGTGTCAGTTGTGAGCTGGATCCTCCTGTTTCTGAGCAGCTTTGCAGTGGTTCTAGAGGTTGAGCACCGGAGCTCCAGCGGTCCAGCGGTCCAGCGGGCTCAAATTAGCTTGGGAGATAAGGCAGAGAGCAGCTCCTTGGCTGCTGATGTGGACTCGGGCAGCAGCTGCTGAGACATGCCTCTGGCTGGGCAGAATTGACTGTGTGGAGGCGAGCCGCTGCTGGGCAGACTTCCACTAGGCCATTATTCTGGAACCCAGTTCTGTTGATCGGCCCACTCTTGGGACCGGAGCATCCCTTCCCCCCTAATCTTTTTGTTTGCCTTTCATCCTGGCACTCTTGATACGTCCCTCTGAATTTGGTAATTATTTTGCCATTTAGACTGTTTGTAAAACACTTTCATTCAAACATAAATAGATTGTTGATCTCTTTTGTTTCTCAAGTTGATACTGAAATAATAATGTTTTTTTTCCTTCCTCATAGGGCATTGTCTGGAAGATATAGTGTGTATTATATTTAATTTGCACATCTTAAATTAATATACAGTGGTCCGAAAAATATTTTCACAATTAAGCCGCACTACATTAGATATTTAGATGTCTGCTAAATATATATTTAGATATATTTTTATTTATTTCTAATAATAAAAATAATAATTTATATATATATATATATATATACATATAAATGTCATTTTAGAGTAGCAAAATCCTTTAATATAATCATGTAATTTCATTATTATATGATATTATGTGATTATATTGAATGATTTTGCTATTCTAAAATTAATACATTAATAAATTATTTTAAAAATATATGATTAATAAACTAATAATCATATATTTTAATAGTAATGTAATGATAAAATATAATATGATGATAGTTTACTATCTTTTTTTTAATATCTAATACTTTCTGACATTTTTAGCTTCAGTGTCCGAATGCTTTTTTGGGCCACTGTTCACTGTAAAGTGATAAAAATACAATTTGACTTACATTCTCTAGTGCTGCCTTGCATATGAGAAATCATGTCTTATTCACAGAACGAGATGCCTTTGATACACTTTTTGACCATGCACCAGATAAACTGAATGTGGTGAAAAAGGCAAGTGCAGATTACACACTATTTCTTGAGAGGTTTTACAAACGGAGAGCTTTGACTCTTTGACTCTGATCTCTTGGTCTTTTTTTTAGACTCATCACATTTGTGAACAAGCACTTAAACAAGTTGAATCTGGAGGTATCAGAGCTGAAAACTCAGGTAACGTGATCATGACTCAACTTGACTTGAATATCAGTAGAGAGATCTCCAAAAACTGAAATTAATTTGATCAGTTTTGTGATCTCCTCCAGTTTGCTGATGGCGTGAACCTGGTCTTACTGATGGGACTCCTAGAAGAATACTTTGTGCCCCTCTATAACTTCTTCCTCATCCCTGAAAATTTTGATCATAAGGTACTCTAAATTACTCTAAATTAATAATTAAAACATATAATAACCTTTCGCAGACAGCGATCGACAGCGTGAAGTTGATGTATTTCCTCAGCGACCAGCACAGATCAGCTCCAGGCACGACGAAGTGGATATCGTTCTCTTTTGGAAGACTAAACAAAGTAGTTTCGCTTTCACAACGAAACACACAGTGTCTTCACGACATGGCGGCGGCAACAATACTACAGTGAGAATAAAAGTTACGCCTTCTTTCTTTGCGTGAACATTTGGGCGGCGTTATGCAAATCTTCCCACATCGTGACGTAGACATGTGGGGGCATGTTAGAACGAGCCGTTTTAGGTAGGCGTGACTGACTCTTAACTTTTATAAAGAATATCTCTTTGGATTTGAGACTTTAGTCTTTGCAACTTTGCAGATCTTCTTTATGCACCAAGAACTTGTAACACTCCAAAGAGAAAGCAAAAATTTCAATCGCATCATGTGACCCCTTTAATAAAATATTTAAGTAATATTAATTATATAGTTATACAATTTTATGAAAAAATATATAACAAACATGGACAGGAAAAATAAGTAGTTGTGCAGGGCAGCAAAATTAGAAAAAAAAAATTATTTTGTAAAACAATGGTGCTGCACCAGAAATACTGGTTTTAAATGATAAACCAATGGATATGCTTCTCAAAACTGAGAACTGACTTCATACATTAAGTCATACACAAAGTCACCTTGAGACCAGTTGGTAAAATTAATTGCCTACTGGTTTTGAGAAAATGTTTACTATCTTTTTTTTAATATCTAATACTTTCTGACATTTTTAGCTTCAGTGTCCGAATGCTTTTTTGGGCCACTGTTCACTGTAAAGTGATAAAAATACAATTTGACTTACATTCTCTAGTGCTGCCTTGCATATGAGAAATCATGTCTTATTCACAGAACGAGATGCCTTTGATACACTTTTTGACCATGCACCAGATAAACTGAATGTGGTGAAAAAAGGCAAGTGCAGATTACACACTATTTCTTGAGAGGTTTTACAAACGGAGAGCTTTGACTCTTTGACTCTGATCTCTTGGTCTACGAATCATTCGTGATCCAGCCTCATCTACAGAAGAAGTGTTTTGTAATGAATCTTAGCAAATCGCCTTTCCTAATAACGTGCTAATTAGCAAGTTTTACGATGAATGCAGCTAAAGTAAACAGTCTCTCTGAGAGCAGCTCGGAAGAGAGGGGCGGGGGCAGCAGAGCTCATTAACATTTAAAGGAAAATGTTTCAAAAACGGCTTGATCTGAAAAGAGCTGTTTTTGACAGGGTAAAAAAAGGTGTTTTTACACTACCATTGATACATTTTAACCAAACTATGTTACAGACTTTTCATTAAGACCCTAAAGAATCATATCAACTTGTGGAAAATGGGCATCATATGACCCCTTTAAATAGCGAATTAACAAATAAAAAAATTAGAAACATGACATTTCTGAATAAAATAACTTTATACACTTTAATTATATCTATATTAATTATATCTATATCTAGCCTATTGTAATCTGCCAGGGGCATGTTTAGTGTGTTGTGGGCCTACTGCAAGTGGTCCCGACAAGCCCCCCCCCTCGGAAGAAATCGTGGTCCATGGTGTTTAGGCATGCCTAAACGCGGTACTGTAATCTGCAACAGTATTTAGGGATTGGGTTTATTGTGAATGATTTTAGGTTATGTTGACAATGTGCACGTTTGTGAAAGTGACGTGGTAGTTTTACTATTCGTGTCTTCCAGTGCTCTATACGGTTTATTTTTCAATAGGATCAAAGAAAAGATTGAAATGACCTGAATATTGAGTCTGACTCTGTCCGTTAGTAACTAGCGCCCGCTCACTTTTGCCCAGGCCCGACCAAAAATAAAATTCTGCCTTTGCCACTACTGTGGCCTACCTTATAATATGTCTCATGGGCAGTTCTCACTAAATGAGGTTTAATGCAAAATACATTGATACCATAAAATGTGTTGATGTTATTAGTGGTGATTGCTAAGGCAAGCATCATTATTATTGCTCATTGCAGGGTGAAGGATTTTAATATAGCTAGAGATTAGATGATATTACATGCATGTGGGCTCTTTTTGCTTGGGCCGTTGTGTGTTGTACATCACTACAATATTGACAAATGACAAAGGACTATTTTTGCACACCTAAATATCTCTATTGTGAGTGCACCTTTAGAATACCTTAGTAACACCCTAAAAACCACTCAGAACACCTTAGCAATGGGCAATGGCTTAGTGAATGAGAAGTTATGGACTTTAGATTTTTTAATCAACAAAGATTTTATGTTAATATTTCTATAGATGTATATTTTGTAACTGGTTACCACAATTTTCTAACTTTTTGCTCTCACTGGTTTATTTTAAATGGTCCTGCGGAGTGACTTTTTTAAATATTCTATTCTGTTTAGTCTGTCTAGAATAAAGAAAAACTAGTTTCACAACAGTGCTGTTTAAATAGTTTTAGATTCAGGGTAACACTTCAGTTTGGTGACCCATTCTCACTGTTAACTAGTTGCTTATTAGCATGCATATTAGTAACATAGTGGCTGTTTATTAGTACTTATAAGACACATATTAATGGCTTATTCTGCATGACCGTATGCTACATCCATAATTTACTCATGCTCAAGCCATCCTCGCATATTTGACTTTCTTCTTTCAGATGAATACAATCTGAGTTATGGCTGGCTCTTCCAAGCTTTATAATTGCAGAGAATGGTGGTCAAGATTTTGAAGCAAAATAAAGTGCATCCATCAATCAGAAAAAGTACTCCTACGTCATCCGCTGGAACGCCACTCTCTTGTGAACGTGCATATGACAGATAGTGGAAGCTAGAGATTACTGCATCGCGCCACATAAACATAAAACCCTGTCTGCATTTGTGATCACGGGGAATGACAAACAACAAGCGCTACTCTACACTGCCCAAAACTCGTGTTTGAATCATCAGTGGCAAATCCTTTAAATGAAAACGTACTTACAGACTGTGAGTCAGAACTGCCGGCATTGTAGTCTACTCTACCAGGATCAGGAAACAGTCCTCCATAAAATGTGCTGCACACATCTGGATATTTGGGTTAAACTGTTCTGAAACAGTGTTGTAAATACAATTTAACCACTGATTTGTAGTCGTGTCCTCTTTTGGAAGACCAAACAAAGTAGTTTCGCTTTCACAACGAAAAACACTGTGGCCTACAGTGAGCAGAAGCTGCGGCTTGGCGTGAGCTGAGGCCGGGCTAGAGTGAGCTGGCGAAGGAGCAGCAACCACATGTGACGACCCCGGACTGGACTCCGCTTCGTCCATGGTGAAAGCCGATCAGCTCTAGGCATGACGAAGTGGACATCGTCCTCTTTTGGAAGACCAAACAAAGTAGTTTCGCTTTCACAACGAAGCACACAGTGCCTTCACGACATGGCGGCAGCGGCAACAATACAACAGTGAGAATAAAAGTTACGCCTTCTTTCTTTGCGTGAACATTTGGGCAGCGTTATGCAAATCTTCCCACATCGTGAGGTAGATATGTGGGGGCGTGTTAGAACGAGCCGTTTTAGGTAGGCGTGGTTAACTCTTAACTTTTATAAAGAATATCTCTTTGGATTTGAGACTTTAGTCTTTGCAACTTTACAGATCTTCTTTATGCACCAAGAGCTTGTAACACTCCAAAGAGAAAGGAAAATTTGAAATCGCATCATATGACCCCTTTAAACGTTTTTTTTTCAATGTGAAGGTTTAAGTCAGCATGACTGGAAAATGAACTCCCTATGAATTCAACACATGGAACTATTTCCTGTGTACCATAAATGGAAAACAATACAAAAAAGAGGAATGTCACACACAAAGCAAAACAACTTTTCAGTTGATTATCAATGCTTACATGGAATATTTGTAGTGTTTGTAATAGGTGTTTAATTTTTTTTACATATTCTGAATATAGTGTTGCTTCATAAAACCATTTCTAAAAGTTGTATATAAATACAGCCACAAGTGGCAATCATCGGGGTTCTAGCACCAATAACCCACGTGAGTGATCATCAGTATTACAGCCATCATCTTCCAGCTGAAATGGCTGATAGATTAGAATTTACTGTTTGCACTGTGAACATCACAAATTCATGAAACTAAGCAAGTTTCTCCACATGTACAAAGTTTTGAGAAGTTTCAACTCTGTGCACACAACATATAGGCATGTTACTAATAACGGGCCACAAAAGACAAAAAATAAAATAAAAATCAGCTACACAGTTTAATAGGTCAAAATTCTTTTGATAACTAAAATGAATTTAACTTACCGATTTAACTTATCAATTTAACTTACCAGGTCTAGAGCGGACATGTGCAAAGTTTGGTGAAGATCTGACAAATGGCCGTACTTGGCACTCCTGCAAAAGAGATATAGAGTGTGACAAATCTGAACAGAAGTAGTCAAAGTACATGCATTCAAAACTCATACATGATTGGTTCATTCAAAGTTGAACTGAACTTTTTGGTGTTGCTTTTTCAAACATTTTCTTCTGATGGTGTTAAATAATCCCCCTGATCTTTCTACTGTACACAATAAGGGTAGGCCTACACTTCCTAGTCAGGTTTCTTTAGATGAAATCCTGCAGGCACCTCTATGGACTGATGGTATAGCTGACTAGGTTATAGTGACATTGGGCCTCATTCATATAACAAAAGCTGAAAGTTGTATGTCATTCCTACATATCGAACTGAATGCAATGGTTTACTCAAGAATGGTATTAGGGTCTACACATTTTTCTCAGGTTCCATGAATGCATGTTTTAGGTCTAGTCTGTTTATTTAGACACATTTCACTCATTTCAAGGTTTTCATATATATAGGTATTCAGCTATACATTCAGTCTAAAGGTCACATTAGCAATATTTCAGAGAAATTTTGCAAGCAAAAAAGGTCCATTGTCAATAGTGTAGCAATGTATAAATC